CTCTCAGCCTGTAGCTTCAGTTCCCCTCCTCTCCATTACATTTACAACAGGAAACGTTTTTGGAGATGGTTGCTTCAGGCATCTCAAAAAACCCGGGACCCAGAGAAAGTTTTTGGCCCCTTTTCACCAGGGTCACATGCCCAGATTATTTCCTGTGGATTTCCTGAGAATGTGTGTAACCTGATCCTTTATCGCCCTGTGCTCAGAGACAGGAATAACAGTCACCTATAGCTTAATGCTCGGCGGTCAGGTTTCTACTCCACTTCCTGTGCATTTGATGGTCATGGCTTAACTGATGAACGGTCATGGCTTTGTTGATGAATGATTCCATGACTCAAAGTACCATATTATAGGGTGGGGTGGGGTGGGGGGTGGTTGGGGGGAGTGGTCTCTGGGTTTACAAGGGGTATTCTTATTCCCTCTCCTCATCTCCCTTCCTGCAAAGGGGCCTGACTGTAATGGGGGCCCCTCCCTTCTGCCATTCCTTGTTCTCTCTTTCCATTTCCCCTGCCTTTCCTTGTGTTTACTTTTACTTGAACAAAGGTCCTGCTCTGAGTCAAAGTGCTTTCAAGAGAAATTATATAAATGCCCTACGTTAATATAGTATATTAGTGCCATCCTTTTCTTTTTCAAAATTAATTTTTATTGGAGTATAGTTGCTTTACAAAGTTGGGTTATATTCTACTGTACAGAAAAATGAATCAGCCATACAGAAACAGACACACAGATGCAGAGAGCAAATGTATGGATACCGAGGGGGAAAGGAGGGGAGGCGGGAGGAATTGGGAGATTGGGAGTGCCTTCCTTTCCTTTTAAAAAACAATCTCCTCATTACAAAAGTAATAAATGCTCATTATAGAAAATATGGAAAATTCAGAAGCATTTAAAATAGAATATTTAAATCACTCATAATCTCGGCATCCTGAGGAAACCAGAACTAGTATACGTGCATGTCTCCTTCCAGACTGTTAAGTATGCTTACATATACATTCGTGCATAGTTAGTGCCAGACTATCATGTTAAACAGAAGTGCATGCCATACACTGTGTATGTATTTAGATCCTGTGACTTTCCATGACACATTCCCATCACTTCTTTATTCCAGGGCCACCATCATAAAAAGGAAAGCAGATGTTAACTGTCCTGGGATTCTGCATCTAGGAAAACTAAGACCCAAAAAAGCAAAGTCACTTTCTCAAGGTCACACAGACTGCTGGCACAGCTGAGACGGGAGCCTTGGTCTCTTGGGTCAGGGCCAAGTCTTCTCTCCACCGGACTGAAAAAGAAATCTGCCCCAGGGGCACCAATGAGAAGAGTCTTAAGTACTGGTGCCAAGTTTGCAAAATCAGGAGTTCTTAGGTTGTTGACACTTTTACCCAAAATCCAAAGATAGAAAGTGCTGAAACCCTTTCATGAAGCAGATGTGAAAATGTACTGTGGTCACGGAGGCAGGTGAGACCTCCATCAATGGCCTTGACTTTGACACTCTTGTCTCTTTTAGTCAAGGTTTTAAGTTGCAAATCAGTGCATACTTACTCCTTTCATTATATGCAGAAATTAATTTCTTCAAGGACATTAGCTACATCATAGAATCTCCAGGAAGTCTGAAGAACCAAGCTTAGTAGTCACATAGCTGGGACAAACAAACCTAGGGATGACTGTCAAATATATGAGAACTGTTAGGCATAGACTCCAACTAATCAGAATAGCAGAGCATGGTAAATAGCCTCTACAGCCGTTCTGGAACACAGTCGCTGAATACCAGCCCTGTTCAAATCAAACTTTGGAAGCACTCCAGTAAGAGCTTTGTATTAGTCGGGTTTCTTCTATGATAATGCCACATAGCAAATTATTCTCCAGTCGCAACAACATGCTTTTTATTTTATCTTCCTGGGTCAGTTGTGGTTTGGCTCATCTTGGCTGGGCTCAGCTGAGCTGAATTGGGGTTTGGGCCCAGATTTTAGGTCAAGATCAGGTCTATTTTAAGTATCTTCATTCTAGGATCCAGGCTGAAGGGACAGTGGCTACATGAAGCATGATTTCTTCACAGTGAGGGTGAAAACTCCAGTGGGCCAATGGAAACTCACTATGCTTCTAAAACTCTCAGCCTAAGAATTAAGACATTGTCCCTTCCATCCACTTTCCATGGCTCAAAATAGTCATATAGCCAAGCTCAAGATGAATGGGTCTGGAATGTAGACTTTGTCTGTACTCATGGGAGGCGCTGCAAGGCACATGTCCAAAGGCATGGATTCTATTATAGAGAGGGAATGAAGAATAGAGACAATTTTCTCATCTACCACACTCCCACTGTGCCACCCGTAGGCACAGCCCCTTCAGTTTATACCACCAGCAGTGGGTACTAGATGCTACTCCTGGAACCTCCATCCCTACAGCCTCTTGTAAATGGAGGCATTTACCAGAATCCTCAACAGGATGGATTCTAGCAGAAACTGCTTTTCTGCTTCACTAGTTTCCGATTTACTATTTAGAGCAGGCGCATCCCATGGACTGTATCTTGGCTATCAAGGAGGCTGCAAAAACAAGTTTCTGGCTTCTACTGAAGATGGAGATGGGGAAGTTGATTCATTAAATAGAGAATGTCTCAAGCATTGGAAGGCTGTTTAAGGTATTGGTGGCCAAATGTCCACTATACCCACCTTCACAATAGAGCTCAGGAAGCCCTATTTCTGAGGGAGCTCAGGAAGATGTGAAAATCCAGCACAGCCTTTGATCTAGCCATTCACCTGTGATTTCCCTTACTTTCTCTATGTTCTCACCCCTCTGTCTCTCCAGTTCTCTGCATTCATATTCTTATACACTAACATCTCCTCTGCCTCCTTAATTCTGATGATTATCACAGAGACTGTTGGATGTACCCAAAACCCATTCCCCATTTCTCCCTTCCAGGAAAGAATCCTTGAGCTTTTTGCTGGGCATGTGGACATCCACCTGAAGACTACATTCCCCAGCTTCCCTTGCCGCAAGATGTGGCTCTGTGCCTGTTTTGGCCAAAACGTGGGAGCAACCAAAATGTCCTTCAGTAGGTGAACAGATAAATAAACTGTGGTACATCCAGACAATGGAATATTTTTCACTACTAAAAACAAATGAGCTATTCAGCCACAAAAAAATATGGAGGATATTTAAATGCATATTAACAACTAAGCAAAAGCCAATTGAAGAAGGCTATATATGGTATGATTCCAACTATATGCCATTCCAGAAAAGGCAAAACTGTGGAAATGATAAAAAAGATGAGTGCTTCTGGGAGGATGGTAAGAAGTAAGCAGAGAACAGAGGATTTTTAGGGCAAGTAAAAAATACTCTGCAGGATTTTATGATGATGGATAATTATGATACATTTGTCCAAAGTCATACAGTATACAACATCACTAGTAAACCCTAAGGTAAACTGTAGACTTTGGGTGTTATGATGTGTCAATGTAGGTTCATCTTTTGTTTAAAAAAAAAATATATATATATATATACACACATATATACACATATATACACCAATCTGATGAGTGATGTTGACATTGGGGAAGCTATGTATAGGGTTGGGGAGGGGGTTATATGCGAAATCTCTCCACCTTCCACTTGATTTTATTGTAAACCTAAAACTTCTTTTTTAAAAAAGTCTTTAGAAACAAGTAAGAATATTACCTTCAAGTATCTTATAATTTAGTGAGAAAAACCAATTAAACCACAGCAGAATAAAAAAAATATGAAAAAAGAGTGTAGGTTAAATACTGGAAGTGAGAAGAGATTGTACCTAAATCCAACTGAAGCAGAGTTACCAGGTAAAAATAAAAGATACCCAGTTCAATTTTATTTTCAGATAAACAGCAAATAAAATTTTAGTGTATGTAATGTTCTATGTATGTATGTTCTATGAAATATTTGAGAAATATTCTTAACAAGTTTAACTGGCATCCTATATTTTTATTTGCTAACTCTGGCGAGTGTAAACTTGGGAGGATGAAGGGAGACTTCAGAGAGAGGTTGGCATTTGAACTGTGCCTTGAGGGATAATGAATAGGATTTCAATAGCTGGATTTTCTAAGACTATTCCAGGCCGAGAAAACAGCAGTGACAAAGGATGAGACATTGAAAATGTCCAGCACATGTTGGCACCTAAGCATGATAGTTGGCGATTCATCTAAGGTGGCTAATATGTGGGTGGACCTAGCTAAGATTGAGCCTAGAGGAATGTGCAAACATGTTGCAAAATTCAAAAACTAGGACCTGGAGTCCTTAGCACTGTGTCCATTTAACAGTATATGCTCTGAATTCTGAAAGTACAATTAAATCAGAAAGTGCAGAATTTTTTATTTAATAAAGAAGGAGGGTAGTGTTAGAGCAGTGGCATTCTATTTTCAGAAGAACAAAAATTGTTACCCATTCTTTCTTTGCAAGACATGTTGCATACAAGTTGCACATTCTGCTAAGCTCACAAGGATCCTATTTTGTCCCTCACCTACAGGGGTGGGCCCAGGTAGCTGTGTGAGTTCTATGAGGCCTCTGCTACCCTACCCACAGTTGATTGGACCAACTATGAATATGTGACTCATGTTAAGCCAATCAGAACCCATATCCTGAGTGTTTGGGTCTGGGACTAGAAGATTCTAGTTCATTCTGAATCAGCCTTTTGAAAGGAGACTTACAGTTATTAGCAATCATTGACTATTACAGCAAAGTCTTATCCCCACAATGGCCTCAAGAACTGTTCATTGGGTATGATGGGACTGGAAGAAGTAGTGCCTGGAGATTCTACTCTTCTGCGTTGGATAGTTATAAACTGGGAAACTCTCTGCCTCATGCTAAAAACTGATATGGTGACATGTGCAAATAGGCTGATATCTTCTTTATGTTCCTCACTAATTAGCTATTGTCAGGGTCAGCCCAGGCCCTTAGCCAAGGTGCTGGCTGCAGCCCGCTCTCTGGATGCATGCTGGCCACCCTCTTCTCCATATTTATTCTCTGGAACAGCAGTGGGGATGTACCTGGTCCTTAGGAGTGATCTGTTCCGGTCTGCTCTTTGCATTATTGATGACAGAGAGACTCTGAAAGGTCATCAGCACCATGAGCCAGCCTCAAATGCCTCCTTCAAACAGAGGCTTGTACACCAGGCCTGGCCCTATGATTCTCGTTTAGTGAGTTTGGGATTTAATGAGACTCATCTTGTGATTCAACTGACTTTGGAGCTTTGAAATTACCATAGAAAAGGCTCCAACAGACTTATCAGGTGAGCTCTTCTGGATAAAGTGAAAATTAATTGACTACAGTGTCTTGCAATCATGAATAATGGTCAGGAAAAAAGCTAAGGAATTAAAGCTGCAGAATGGTTTCTCTAAACTTACTACTTAGGTGTGGCCTTGAGCTTTGGTGTCACTGGGAACAGAGGATGCTTTGAGAAACAGGAAAAGACCATAAAGAAAGGACTCGCTAGTTTCCTGGGACAGGGAGCAGGGGTGTGTGATGAAGGGGATGGCGTGTCTTTCTCCTGACCCTCTCTAGCATCCTGCTGAAACTGGATCCTGTTTCAAAAGTCCTCATTAAAGACTCTCATTCCAGTATTGTTTACAGTAAAAACACCAGACTGGGGAGGATGTAACCAATCTTCAAATCAGTGAAGAGAAGTGATTTTCATGGCTGGAGCCTAGGAAGGTGGAATTCACAAATACAGGAACCCTGTTACATAAGCGGCTCAACCAGACTCACCAAGGTGACATAGACTCTCGTGAAGCCCCAAGTGATCAGTTCTCTCCAAATTTAGTCCCCACCTAATTGACAAAATCTGACAGTCCATTCATGATTAAACTGGTAAAATACCTTCTCAGTAATAACAGTGATATCAGTTGTAGGGAAAAAGCCCGAGTTCTCTGATACAAAGTAATCTTTCATCAGTGTCCATGTTTAATACCTTTCTGGGATGATAGGGATTTTTAATACTTTTTATTTCATCTGTGAGATTAATCTGATGTTCCATTTCTCATACTGGGCTCTAGGGAACAATAGTAATTTTCCACTTTGTAAAGCTTTCTCTCACTTTTCATCCCACTCAAAGACAGCTGTTCTAAATTTTGGGTGTCTTTTGTGTAACAGGGGCATTCCTGGGACTACTAAGGAACAGATATTTTCGTTTGATTCTAGGTGCCATGGGGGAAACAATTACATGTGGAGTCACAGGCCTCCTGAGGGCTGATACTCCGTTTTATAGACGTGACCACAAACCCTGTGCTTACTCAATCGTCCATTACATGCCTTACATTAGACAGCAAAGTCTTCTAAATTACCAATAAATCACTAAACTAGAACGATGCAGGGAAGAACCACAACATTTTTATTCATCCATGAGTTCTCAGGAAGAAGGGCTTCATGAGAAAATGGCCTAGAAAGACTCCCTGAAGAGAAATAACCCCATTATATCAAGAGGAGCCCCTCCTCAGCTTAGGAACAGGCTAGAAAGCATGAGAAGGGGGTTCTTAAAGCACAGTGAGTGAGGAGGTGGCTGTCTTATCTAATCATACACATCAAGAATGAGACTGAAGACAGATACTTCTGGGTTCATAATACTGGCTTCATCACTTACTAAGTACATAGCTGGGGACAAGTGACTTAACCTCCCTCTGCCTCAGTTTCCTCACCTGTATGATGAGCATAATATAGTATTCACCTGATAGAGTGATTATATAGCTAAGTGTGTTACTAATATTAACATTAGCAGTTAACTCTTTCAGGAAACATGAATCACTCTAGGTCTTTCAATCAGCAGGAATTTAATACAGGAAATTAAATGATTCAGGAGACAACAGAGCTCAGACACGAAATAGATGCACATAAAGCAATTCAGAGGTTAGAAATAGTGGGTCACAGTGAGGGCCAAAGGGACAGTAGGAGGCTGTCCTGCAGGGACTGAAACCACAGCAGGATCTGGGCTGGAACCATGGAGGAGATACCACCACATGCAAAGAGGAGGAGAAATACTCTGGCCTCTCCTCAAATCCTATCTTCCAGTTTTCTACTAAGGCCTTTCATGACTGAATCCCCCTAGGAGATATAGGGTCAAAGAGCTGAGAAAATGTCACTCCCTGAAATACAGAGCAGAGCAAAAGAAGGGCAGGGAGGAATCTGAGAGCAAACAGGCAATTAACTGGCAATAGCTGACATTATTGAGCTCTTACCATAAGCCAAGCGCTGGACTGAGTGTTTTTTATGGATTAATTCATTTAAACCTGTTAGCAACTCACAGAACCAGCGTTTGAAGTGCCCGATCAATGTTAGACCTATTATTGAAGTAACTGAATATTACTGAAGCAACCCAAAGAGAATAATGGCATGTGGGCACATCTATTAGATTGAAAATAAACTGCGAGGAGGAACCATGCCTTACTCATCTTTGTGTCCCCAACACACTGCAGGTGCCCTGCCTTAGGCATCACTCATTGTTAAGCTAAAGGACACAGGCAGCAATGAAAGTGTGAATGAGTGAAGCAGATCTGCTGTGAGTAAAGAAGTGTATCCCACCTCTCTAGGAGTTTGAGTTTTGTGGTTGCTGTGTAATCTCAACACCTTCCATCAATATTTTGGCATTTTACTTTTACAAATATAAACATTTCATAACCAATCCAGTAGTACTGAGCATCCCTCATACCTACAGTGTGGGCCCTGATCCATGAAATAAGGAACACGGCTGCTTATAGAAAAGACTAATCTCTGTCTGAGGCAAGAAATATACAGATGAGCCTGGAATATTTTGTTGTGTCAGAAAACAAGAAATCTATCAAAGACAACTGTGCTATGAATAAAGGACTCAGGAGTCAACTTTAAGAGTCTCCCACTAGTCAAGGAGGGACAATTTCAGCAGCAATTAGAATAACTACAATCAATTAAAAGATGTCAAATATGCTTACATCCATGAGTTCATAATGATACTAGGTGGGGCGGGGGTGACTCTCATTGATCACATTTAGAGAATGGTAGGGAATCAACTGTTATGGGCTGAATTGTGTCCCATCGGTTGAAATCGTAACACCCAGGATCTCAGAATATGACTATTTGGAGACAGGGCATTTAAGGAGGTGACTAAGGTAAAGCAAGGTCTTTGGGGTGGATCCTAATCCAATATGACTTGTGTCCTTATAATAAGAGGAGATTGGGACATAGACACACACAGAGGGATGACCATGTGAAGAAGCAGCAAGAAGACAGCCACCTACAACCAAGGAGAGAGGCTCAGAAGAAACCAACCCTGATAACACCTTGATCTCAGACTTCCAGCCTCCAGAACTGTGAGAAAATTAACTTCAGTTTTTTAAGTCACCCAGTCTGTGGCAGTTGTGGTGGCCCTAGTAAATTAATACATCAACTTATCACTTTGAAATTTGCTAAGTAAAGGGAAAGAATCAAGCATTTATCCCGCCTTTCTTACATACCTCGGGACAATCAAACAGTTGAGGAAAAGTTTCTCCTTATGGATATATTCCATCTAATAAATCAAAATGTGTTAGTCACCCAGTCATGTCTGACTCTTTGTGACCCCATGGACTGCAGCCTGCCTGGCTCCTCTGTCCATGGAATTCTCCAGATAAGAATACTAGAGTGGGTAGCCATTCCCTTCTCCAGGGGATCTTCCCAATCTAGGGATTGAACCTGTGTCTTCCTGCATTGCAGGCCAATTCTTTACCATCTGAGCTACCAGGGAAGCCCTGATAAATCAAGAAGGGATGAAAAGAAATTAAATAACTATTTTGCAAAGCCCTTTAGGAAGCAGTGGTTCCAGGCAATGGTCATCAACAGTAGCTGCCATCACAAGAAGACAGAGCTAGACATCATGGCTCCTAATGAAAGTGTACAATATCATCTGTAAGTTACTGTTTGCCAAAATTCAAACCTGAACCAGACAAACCCCCTCCATCTAACTACTAATTCACAGAAAATACATGGGACAGAGGAACATGTTGAACAGTACAGGGATGCAATTAGTAAAATTCAGGATATGGGAAGTTCCATAGGGTAAGTGACATGTTTTCTTTAAAAAAAAAAAATGCAAAAACTAAAAAAAAGGGGGGAGAAATCTATAAATTTAAAAGAGGTTTAAGATATACATCAAGGAAATTCTGCTCTAAAAAAACATGAGATAAGCAGGGAAACTTGAACACTGACTGGGTAGTTTAATATTAAGAAATACTTTGATACTTAACATTAAATAAGATTTTAGGTGTCATAATGGTTTTGTGGTGACATTTTGTAAAAATGTTTATCTTTTAGAGATACATTCTGAAATATTTACAAGGAAAATGATATGCTGTCTGGGATTTCCTTTAAAATAATTTAATGTGGGAGGCAGAGGAAGCAGGTAATAGATGAAATTCATGCATCCATGGGTTGTATGTCTTAGAGTTGGATGATGGGTACATTGAAGTTTACTACAATATTCTCTCTACTTTTCTGAATGCTTTACGTTTGCAGTTATAAAATGTTTTTTAAAAAGAGAATGTTTGAATGTTGTAGGCTATCAGAGCAAACATGCTCACTCTTACAAGTAATTCAACAAATGTAAAGAAAGATACTTTTTGGCCTATTGAATTAGCAACAATCTTATTTTAGTAGTAATTTCTAAGGTTAGGTGAAACATTTGCATGTATTGTAGCAGGAATATAAACTGGTAGGAATTGGGTTGGTGTCTCTAGTGGTAAAGAACCCACCTGTCAATTCAGGAGACTTAAGAGACCCAGCTTCAATTCCTGGGTCAGGAAGATTCCCTGGAGGAGAGCCTGGCAACCCACTCCATTATTCTTGCCTGAAGAATCCCATGGACAGAGGATCCTGGCAGTCTACAGCCCATAGTGTCTCAAAGAGTCAGACATGAATGAAATGACTTAGCATGTATCCATACACCAGGTGGCCAAAAAGTTCATTTGGAAAACCTGAACGGATGTTTTAGCCAACCCAATAAAACACTTTTGGAAAGCAATTTGGAAGTATGTGGTTAGAATATTAAAATAAACATTTTTATCTTTTCTATCCTACTTAGAAGAGGGAAATGTATTCTTATATTCATATTCTTTAAATCAGTAATTTTATAGAACAGTTCTATATCCCCAGTTGTTGAAATAAAGAAGGAAAAGCTTTATAATTAACAAATAAGTTCATTACATGATTATTTATGTGCTTAGTTGCTTACTCATGTCCGACTCTTTGTGACCCC